TTGGAATATGTAAAGAACGAAGTCGATTGGTACGCTGATGACATCTTTGGCAGTTGGTTCGTCAATTTGGGTTTTGCATACGACGACACGGGAAATGTCACGATCAGGAATACTTAAAATATAATTAACACCGCAGTAGCGGTTTACAGTGTAAATTAATCAACATAATACTGTATTCATTCGGTCTTAAGTATATATTTCTCTTTAAAACAATTTCATACTAACAACTTTATATCAAGCAAAATGTGTCAACGTGGCATTTTATTTTACAACCTCATTATGTACACGTAGACTAAAATATATTAAGTGAATACGAAACACACTTAGATGATGAATAAATAAAAGATGTTAAAAAATATAAGTCTTATTAAAACAATTAATACAATTTTATTAGCATTATAATTGTTAATTATTATATTTGTTTAGAGATAAAATCATAATTGTTTATTTGTCTGTTATTTGTCGTGTTGCTTGTAAATCAAAATCAGCATGTGTTTAAATAAAAAATTGCGAATACATTTTTGAAAATTCAGTACAATTTTTTATCATTTATTTTCAAAATGTAAAACTAATTTTGGACCAGTTAATTATTGATTGGCGATAAGTCCATTATAATAATAACTTAACGTCAATAACATTAACAAAAATAAATTATCATTCATCTGAAGTCATAATAATATTTCAAATAGAATTTCAGCAGCTTCGTATCTCATGAAAAAATGAATTTCTCTATGTGTAGATGTACAACAATACTGACGAAGGCTTGGGCTTACCTAGTTAATGTTACCAATTATGTTTGTTGAACATTCGGTTAATGTGAATTTAAATCAGCCTCAGTTGCTGAAGAATTAGATTGACCATTTTATCGCAGTTAACCGTATCTGTTTGTTAATGAGCCTTAAACATTAAATTAATGGTGAGTTACGTCAATACAAATCAATTTGGACTATAGTATTTTATATACAAGTTATAGGTATATAAAATACTTATCTTCGGTCTAATTTTCAGCTCTAAAATCATGGTCTAATCAAACAAAAACTTACAGCAGTACCTATTTATGACATCGATAATATTCCAAACCTGACCAAAGTTAATAAAAAAAAAAAAGAGAAGAGAAAAATTTTAAGTAGAATTTTATATGCAATACAGTTATTAACTTTTAGTTTTTTTACAAGGAAAATAATAACCGATTTTTTGTCTGTTATTTGTCGATTTGCGTGTAAATCAAAAACTCGACGGGCGGTACTGGCAAACAATTTCACCATGTGTTTAAACAAAAAAATGAAAATTGTAATTACATTTTTGAAACACCGCGTTGTTCAGTTTAAGTTTTTTGGTCGAATAGTGCTATTTTTTTTAAAAATTTTGGACGTTACCATAAAATGCATACACAAACGTTGGTTTCAATACTGGTTTGGGTGGCTGTTTTTGGTTTTACACGCGTCGTTTCAGACGATATGAGCGATTTGCAAAAAACCGAACTAGCCAACAATCTAAACAGGTTGGTGCAACATTCTGGATGGCGGTTCATGGACGTTAAAATCATAGTCTATAACAATAATTGCCAAGTAATCGCGGATCCCATATCCGTAATGCTCGAAGCCATGAAGTCGAACCGGAACCCGATCGACGTATCCAACGTCGTGGATAAATACATGGAGATCTGGATCGTGCTCGTGTGTAAGTACTCCAAGATTTTTTACAACTACAGCCGTCTGGTGGGACATTTAATAGAGATTTGCCAAAATGAAAAAAGGTCGTCCGCGCATTGGTTCAAACGGTATTACGATTGTTTCGATATGGTGCTGATCAAACTCCAGAGCGTGTCGCCCGTGTTCAAATGCATGAAAGAAGCGCTGGACCTCGTTTACTCGATGGGCGGGCAAACGAACCCCGAGCACAGAGTAGTGGTCGCCACGCAGATGTTGACCCGTTTTACAGAAACTATCCGGCCGAGTATGTTGTCGAAATGGTCCACACGCGGTTTCGACGAGAACGGCATCGATCGCGAATTGAAATACATTAGCCAATGTATCGCGGATGTATACAACGAACACATAAGTTGGTTTTCGGCCAGCTATTGCATCGTTCCGTCGCACAGAGAATGGACCACAGAGAATATAATCGAAGATTTCCTGTACAAAAAGAACAACCAGTTGATACCGCAGGCAATGAACATGTTGGATTATGTAGTACACGAAATCGATTGTTACATTGGCGATATCTTGGGCAGTTGGTTTTCAAATTTGGGCTTCGCATACGACGACACGGGAAGTATAACGATCAGGAATAATTGAAATACAATAATTTGTCACCCGACCAACGATTCACAACCTTGTTATGTACACGTAGACTAAAAAAAATGTACGTCGACACTAAAAACATTTGTTTGATTAAAATCAATAAATAACATATACGTCAATGATCGTTTATAAAAATATTATATTATTATATTACCGCAAGTACGTTTATTTTGGTCAGTTTTACTCAACTTATAACAAAGGAAATATACATACATGTGACCGAATATAAAATCAAGGTTTAAACATTTCACATTTTACTCTGGTGCTTAAGTCTTAACGGTGACGATAATAAATTATCGTGTACCTAATTATGCACTGAAATATTGCTTTTTTAATATAATGTATAGTATAGTACTTGTTCTGGTGAAATAGTTTTAATTAAATATTTCACTAGCATTTTCAATTCTTTAGGTTAGCATTTTTTTACCGAATATTTCCAAATGTAGTTAGACCGACGGGAGGAATAAGTAAGTTCATATAAAAAATATTTATGACACTTCACTTCACAAATTTGGCTTGATCTACAGAAAGGACGTTGAAAAAAAAAAAAGTCACAAAAATAGCAAACGCATTTAAATAAACAAGCCAACTAACAAAGAGTAATTCGAGATAAGAGAAAAAACGAAAATACACTTTGTTAGGAATTTAGTTTAATCGTCTATTGTCTGTGGTCTATAATTAATTGTAAATCAATCATTATGATAAAAATGGCGGTTATGTCTCGCTGCTCGGCATTGTTTGGTTTATCTGTTTTTTTTTAAATTGCATTGTGAGCTGACAATACAATTAATCTACAAAATATACCTCTGGGTTCATTGTTTCAATATTTGTTAAGACAAAGCCGATGGGATTGTACGCATTTAATGATGGTTTTTGCACTATTCGATTGGTCTAATAAACAAACTAGTTCCTAGAAAACTGTTTCATGATATTACATTAATCATAACGTTCGCAAGTCATTTCTCTAAAAATCAATGTTGGGCAAATTATGATCTTATATTTCATTAATAATTGTAATCGGCCGTATCTTAATTAACTATGATTAATATTGTGGTCGTTATTCTGAAAACAAATCACATAGGTATAGTGTACTAATTGTACATTAATAATTCAATAGTAATTGCGATTTAATATGATAGTTATTAAGGTAAAAGTAAATAGAATATTGTTTAAGGTTGTAGGTTAACATAAAATGAAAAACTACAAATTACTTAAAGAGAAAATAAGTGTCTTATCCTTAATGAATCACCCTGTAGTAAAGAATATATAATAAACAAAACCTTAAGGTGGTAAAAAAAATGTAATCGTGATTACTGATTGAATTACTTTTGGAAAATGATCGAATGATTAACTTTTAATCACGATTACGTTGATGCAACCGATAAAATGTAATCAGAAAGTCATTTATCACTGTCCAAAAATGCCTTAAAAATGTGTAGATATTTTACTTTTGTGTCAGTTATTATTATATTTATATATTATTTTGAATTCTCGTTTTTATTATTCAGCAATATATTTGTTTAGGTCTTCGTGTCCATCGAGGACACGTCGTTCGATAGTTTCAAGGGTAGAAATGGTAGTATTAAAATTCACTAAACGTTTTCCAAGCAATTATGGCATGACGTTTGTTTGTCCGTATTGATAATACCAATTGATAATTATTCCTATCGATCAAGTCACACATATTATTATTCCAACCTAACCTGAATTTGCATTATCTCCTTGGCGGCTAATGTGCGGTTACAAAAACCCGGAATGGCTTCCGGTATTTTCACGGCGAACGGAACTGACAGCTGTTTATAAATTATATATGTGGTGAGCTGTGGTGGCGTTTGTGTTTTATTTAACAATCTTAAACTGCTTGGCCTCGACCTTAGCGTTATTTCGAAAACAGACAACATAACGAGATGTAATAAATTTACTATCACTTCACTCGGTTGGCGCAAACGATATGTATCAGACCCTGACTTATTAGAGATAAAAGTATACAAGAAAAATGATCTATTTTTTGTCTTTTCCGTGTGATGTATTACAGATCAAAACATTCTATTTGCAGTAGTTATACGGTCATGAAAAAAAAAGGGGCGAATTCAGATAGGTCAGTGATATTAACTGCAATTTAAGACATGTAAGTGCATTTAAATGCTTGCAATAGTGCAAGAAGGTAGATAGGCGATTGGAGGAGGAATTTTTTAAACGTTATGTCAGTAAGGCAAGAAACACTATTGAAATGGACCTAAAAACTAATAAGATACAATATTCTACGCATGTGCGGCATATGATTATAAAATAATACTGACATCATTAATCTATGAATCCCCCTTGTTCCCTACTTTTGACAATCCCAAACCGTCTCAATCTATATTATTCTCTGACGTTTGTGTCGCTAGCGAATTTTCCTTATGAAATTTCATCCCGACGCCTTAATTAAAATTCCTGGGAACCGCCAAGTATCAAAACAAAACATTGTTTTTAAATCTTAATTCCGAGCGCTATTGATTGATTTTCCCAGAAACATATTGTCTTATATTTTTAATTTATTATTATTGTTGTTTTTTTTTTTAATACGCTACACATTGACCCCGTGGAGTGGAACGCGTTAGGCGCCACTAAAACTATATTCAATTTCACAGAACGCTGATCCCGCAACGAGTCGTTTTTATTGTTACTTTTTTTTTAAACTAAAATAACGCTTACCTGGGATTTTTTTTTTGGTTTTGTCGTAATGCGCGATTTCGATTCTGATGGCCAGGCCACTGGTGTTGAATATTAGTATGATATCATCACCCGCGAAGGAAGTATCATATTATTCGACGAGATTCGCACAACGCCCGCCGGCCGTTATTGTCAACTGAAACAATGAGCAAAAAAAAAAAAAAAAACAACAATAAATATACTTTTTATTGAACGGATGTGCATCTTTGGACGTGTCGCTCGTCTCGCGTTAACACGCGTGCCGAGCGCATAATAATAATTGGCAAAATACATAATTAGGTATTTAACAAAATATCTTCCATTGACGTTTTCGGCTACGCGTCGAAGTTGGAATAATAATTTTTTTTCCCTTCAATTTAAGTGCTAAATTTGTGCTAAATAACAAAAATTTTCCCCGAGGGCAGAGTTGATCAAATTTAACGCCTTCGATCAAAGGATCAAATATTGATATTATTTTTGCAATAAACAACGGAACGCTGTGCGATTAAATATAAGACCCTCGGTTTTTTCCATATTATATTCAACTGTAAAAAAAAATACTAAATTGATTACTCAAACTTGTTACGTTGGTGCAAAAAAAAAAATGTCTTCATTTAAAATATATATTGTACAATTTGGGCTCGGTTAAAAATTTGTAAGTTAACATATTCAGCTGTAACCCGATTTTCGACGGTGGCGCGTTTGGACTGTAAAAATAGCATAACGGTGATTTTTTTAAATATTTATGTATTATATATATGTATATACTGTATACTTGTGTATAAAAAAAAAAGTGGAACGTAGCGAATTTGTGTACCTACGGAGAAACATAAAACGTATTGATCATTATTATTAACATTATTTTATAATGTTATTATTTTTTCTTCTTGAAAAACCAGAATGTATTTTAAATCATCTTTGGCCAGCCATAGTATTACAATTTATGCATAGAAAATTTTAATTTTTTACTCTAATGGCCGCACGTTTTAATGGTGCCGATTACACTATTTATTAAGTCGACAAAAGCAATAAAGTCAAAGTCCAAATTAACATTTTTTTTTTAAATTTTATTTGTCTGCTACTAAATTTTATTTTCATTCGACGGTGAGGATTCTAATAAAAACCGTATGATTTAATTTATGTAGTAAGTATGGAAATCAAATAGGAAAGTAAGCATAATAGTGTGTTATTAGCAATTTTAAATTAAACCGAAGGTCGATCGAATCGTTATCGATAACATAAAAAATTTCATTAAAAGTTGTAGCAAATAAAATATGATTAAATTAAAAATAATAAACTATTAAACGACATGATTTAGGTACAGCAAAAATATTTAGCAATACTAATTTTGAGCGCTTAAACCATAATTGGACCATAATGTGGGCTGTTTAGTTTAAAGTTTATAGTTTGGAAATGCTAAAACTATAGGCAAAATTCCTCTTAAATGATAGCCAAACAACGACAAACTGGTAAGGACAGCCACAAGTGATTTTGATTTTCCAATCTTTCAAATACTTCCAAGACAATCAGATAGGTATATTTTATTGGTGTCATTCTGTGAAGGGTGTGCAATCTCCCAGAACCACAATTCAATGTGAACAATGTTAATGTGTAAATTCGTTAGCCAGATTTGTTTTAAAAAAATCCATCCGAGAAGGGTTTTTTCTATAAATATATTCCATAAGTAGAATATTTATTAGTTTTTTTTATGATACAATTTATTTTTTATATATTTTATATACAAAAATTACCAACTGAATACATGCAGGAAGAGGTATAAAAATGTACACCATTATGCATTTAGTTTTATGATGAACCTAACCTAACTCGTTTAAAAAAAAAAAAATAAGTAATTTTAGGTAAAGGAAGGCTGTGCATTGCAACAGCTTTTATTTTTTATATCTGCGTTGCACTCAGAAAAATAATATTGCTTTTGAATAATTGAATATTTACGATTTGAAAAAAATTAAAACCGGTATTTCAATTGACCAGTTTTTATTTACCTAGTAAATCATAACGATATTGTATGAATAAAATTTGCACACTAATTGCGCATAAGCTGTCGTTGAAAAATCAAATTAGATATTTCATACGGCAATTAAATTGTCTGGAAGGCGATTATTTTTTTATTACAGCTTAAGTTATTTTAAAATCGCTATCACTCCGTGCAAAAAAAAAAAGAATATATTTTAATAAATATTATAAATATAGAATATTCTTATACATGTATGTAGGTATATAGATAAAAAAACAAGGGAAAAAAAACAGAGAAAAAACAAGTAGCTGTTTTAAAAAAATGGTCACTTTGTTGTTCAATTAAAATTTCGTTTCGATGCGAACCTAATCTGTTCTTTAAACACGTTACAAATTGAAAAATTAAAAGTTTTTAAGAATTATTTTAACATTTTAAAACATTTTTTACCATTATTTAAACGTTTTTTCCCTGCACCCTTTTTTGTTTATATCAAGAAAAGCTTGCAAACTGAATTGACACTCAATCATTCTACAAGCGCCCTATGTTTTTCAATTCGAAACTCTTCCTTTATTTTCTTAATTAATTTTTTTGTAAATTTCTAGACACGTGTGGGTGAATCAACAGGTGTCTGGAAAACAGTCGCCTTGTGTTGTTGTACATAATATACAAGGCCTATGGGTAACAACGGCAGTAAATCTATTCTAGTCTAGGCCTCTTTTAATAGTCAACATATTATTTCAAGCACATTATAGCCGGTACAGTGCTTTTATCACTTCAGCGTCTTAATCAATTCAAAATATAGACCCGTGACTTCCCTCGCCCCTCGCCAGTACCCATGTGTACTGGCTCTGTTTTGATTTTCCAATAGATTGTTTTATGGTTTATGCGAAAAAATTATTATTAACTCTGGCCGACTGGTAGGAGGTACACTTAGTATCGTTTGTAAAGTAATTGCGCACGGTTTTGGACAACGATCAGTAATTGTACTACAGGTCAACACACTGTGGTCTCTACCGGTCTGCCAAACGGCGAGGTGATCCAACACGGATTACTCGGATTATCCGATTTGTTATTTTCAACGCGACCATTCTGTTGTCTAATTAGTCGGTTTGATTTAAATCGTTTTTACATAAAAAAAAAAAAAAAAAAGTGCAAAATATTGAAAACGTGTTCCCGGCGCGGTTTAGTCGGTCGTTTAATGGTAATTAAAGTAGCCGTTTATGGACTTACTAATGAAACCGATTATGCAGAATTTGTTGAACTTCTCACCGATGCGACGGGTGTTACTCACCGTTCGGCATACGGACACTCAGAGACAGTGTATTGACCACAGTGTGTTGACCTGTAATAATTGATCGTTGTCCAAAAAACGCGCGCAATTACTTTACAAACGCCATTAGATATATGTACCTCCTACCAGTGGCCCGGAGTAATATAATTTTTCGCATAAAAACCATAAGACAATCTATTCGAAACGCAAAACACCAAAACAGAGCCAGTACGGTGCATGATGTGGTCAGAGCATATTGGGGCGGGCGAAGTCACGGGTCTATATGAGTTATTATTACTGAAAGTGATGAAAGCACTGTACCGGCTATAATGTGCTTGAAATAATATTTTGACTATTAACAGAGGCCTAGATAAGAATAGATTTACTGCCGTTGTTACCCATGGGCCTTATATATTATGTACAACAACACAAGGCGACTATTTTCCAGACACCTGTTGATTCACCCACACGTATCTAGAAACTCACAACGGTCAAAGTGTATCCGCACAAGATCTACCTTTTGTCTGATTTTCAGACCTTAAACTCTAAAACTTCATCTACAAAAGCTAAATAAAGAAGAAGTTTCCATCCCTTTGGCGATGAAAAGGCTTATGATATTTTTTGGCATTCCCTCGGTATTCTTTTTAACCTTTAACAACTTAAGATAGCTGAATAACACAACAAATAAAATCGCCCGTTATAATAAACATTTTGTTGGATATTATTTTATTGGGACCTAAATAAATTTTTTTTTTAAATTTTTCAAACAATAGAAAAAATCTGTTTTCTAGGTAATTGCTCTTATTCTAGCTGGAAATACAAACCAAATAATTTTAACCAATAATTCTTAAACGAGCTCGAAGTACCGGACCAGAATTATTCAAAACACTTTTTTGCCGGTACTTGATGCTTGTTTAGGTTTTTGACATTTTTTTTTAGTTTGATATGAGCGCCCAATTCTAAAACTCTAAAGAATTTGTCCACCAAAATAATTACCCAATCCAGACACGACGAACGCCACTAATCGTTATAGATTTTTTAAGTGTCTTTTAAGCACCGAATAACAACACACACACACACACTAAAAAACACATTAATACAATATGACCGCCGTCATTTAGATTTCAAACGCAACTAAACAGATTGTGTTTGGGGTCGGTCGTCAAAGGATATTTTTTTTTTTTTTTTGGTTTATCTCAGACCGTCGTCATACACGTTATACACGTTATCGTGCAGTGGGCGGACAGAATAAGGAAACGGGATGACACACAATGTCTGGATGATGCGCATGTCAATAGCTAGTTGACAGCCATCGTTCGATTACACTGTGTTGATAGAAACGAAGAAAGTGAATTAGTAGAGTACAGCAAACAAACAAAACGTTTTTGGGCCATATATGTATATATATTATCATTGTCGAAACGAATGTGTCATTCGAATAATATTCCATAAATACAAAAATTCTGATACATACTAATTCAATTATTCGGTTGAAGATTTTAACAAACAGTTTGTATTTCCCCCCACACCTCTGCCTTTCTTTTAAAAAGTGTGGTCAATTTTTATTCTAATAAGAAAACATCCCTTCTTCGCCTCACACCCCCCCCCCCCAAAAAAAAAAGGTAAAACTACATTTTGATAGTTTAGCAGTGTTTTATTTAAGACAATTTTTAATAATATTACTTTCCACCCCGTTCGGGCTGCTAGGTATGCATACACATAGTGTTATATTATTATTATTATTATTATTATTATGAAGGTATCACGATTCGAAAAAAATCATCCTTCTTCTCCGGACGGTCAGTGCCAACGAACTTTCACATTTGAACTACTTACCGTACACGAGAGCCCATACCAAAATGATTACCGAACGAGAAAACCGAATGTGGTACCACCTATATGTACAAATGTT